ATATATATATATATAATGTTTTTTTTCTATATATATATATATATATATATATATATATATATAGTTAAAATTGAAAGTTATAATCTGTTTGCCTGTAACCAGTAATTGTAGAAAAAGTAGATCTATATTACAGCATTATAATAAAGATTGTCAAAAACTTTTTCAAGTTGTTGATAATTACAGTGTAAGCACTGTAATTTAAAAGTGTGTCTGAATAATTCCAATCAAACACATTGTATTTTCCTACCAGTATCACGACCATTTCTATCAAAGATTTCGAGTGAAGATTATTATAGTTTCTGTTATAATGAACTTTATTTTTGTAAATTTAGAGACCAATACCAAGGACGATTTTGATAAAAGATTATTCACGTAATTTCTGAGTACTCTCAGTTTAACTTTTGATCGTCAGTCACTCTTTAATTTATCTTGTTCGTCTATTTTGGTTTAATGTGTGCTATATAATATAGATATGATCGTGACGTTCTGTGAAAGGCTAGGTTGGACTTACCTTCGAAGTGTATTGGACGGCTTCTCTGAGCGATTAACATTTGGTGTACGTAAAGATTTGACGGAATTGGTACAAATTGAAGGAATTGACGGAATGCGAGCTCGAGCTTTTCATAATGCCAAAATTACAACAGCAGCTGTGCTGGCGACTACTCCTCTTAACGACATAACAAAAATATTACGATCTGTGGTACCTTTTGTCAGGTAAGAAGTAGAAAACTTATTTAGATTAGTTTGCAAACAAAATTTTTTATTAAATATACGCATAATGGAGCACTCCTATATTTGAACTTATTTATTATTTTCCACGATTTGTGTTTTGAAATAACTGGGAGATATTTTTCCTTTTAACTCTAAGGTAGTGTATTGACCAAAAATTGGATAGTAATGAGTTATCTTATGTAACGATCGCCGTTTACAATTAATAATTGTTGATGTAAATGGTGATTATTATATAACACAAGCGTTCGAATTTTTAACATGGAATTGGGTTGGGCAGGCTTTACTGTTCACTAAATTCTTTGTGCAAACCAAATCTATTGCTATGCTACCGAGGTTAATGTAAAGTTTGGTACAGAATGAGTGCAGCAATGAATCTGGATATGAAAATGTGTTTTACTAAAATATATTAGATGGCATCATATTGTTACAAGTTATCTTTGTGACAACTTATTATGATGCGTTTTATCCCTTAAAAAGTGCAGAAAGTTTCCTTGTTTAAAAAATCCTTTCAAATTGATACTGTTCTGATAAAAGTGAGTAATAATGTGCTCATTTTTGATAATTCATTTATCTGGAGCATTTTTCTTGATCTTTTATGAAAAAACGTTTTGCTTATTTTAGAAATTAAATACAAAATTGAAAATAAGTAAGCGGAAAAATGCAGTTGATTGCATTTTCTCACCTGTGAGTCGATTCAAAAGGCTGAAATTTAGTCTTAACAAAATAATATGACCACTGACAGTGTTGTTGAGCACAAAATTTGTAAATCACGCATATAACGAATAGACAAAAAATGAGTGCCTTCACACTTAATTATAATTATGCTTTTGTTCATTTAATTTTGAATAGTTTATTAGTAAGGAATGTCATGCGAGTAGCATAGAGAATAGAAATAATCGTTTGAATGCTGCGTAATTTCTACTAATTAGCAGTAATTGGGCAACAGTTTGAAGGTTAGACTTAAACAAGTCAATTTTGAGTATGCATAAATAAATGGCTGAATAGTGAATGACATACGGTTTGAGGCCATTCTTGAGTAAATAATTAGAACTGAACGAAAAGAATGGCAGATAAGGCATTTTGTTAGGAAAATGCCAGCTTGTGGTAGTTACTTTAATAATCACAAAATGTTACGTAACATTGTGCACTAAGTAAGGAAACAAATCAAGAGTCAAAACTTGCTTAGCAAAAATAAAAATAAATAAGCTAATCGAGTATGAGTTTAACTAGAAAATTAATAGGGCAATCATTATATTAATTAGTTTTTAATTCTCTAATCATATATGTAAATAAAATAAGAAATTAATTGTTTATTCCGCCAAATTCATTATATTGGTGTGTTTCTTGCCACGATAATTTGTGGCTGTTATAAAAATAATTTGCAAAAATGAATCTGTAATTAATAAAATCATCATAATTTAGATAAAAATTAAATTAAATCAAATTAAATTATGACTAAATAATAAAAACTGAACCGATTTAAAAATTAATGATAAAACATATACATAAAAGGTGTATTTAGTAGACTTTTTAGAAATTGCTTACGACAAAGATAGAAAAGTTAATGTAAGCTTTGATTAAGACTGATTCCAATGAAGAAAATTTCAGAAGTTACTGCTGAAACAATGGAAAAACAGAATGATTAATATTAGTCGTACTGTTAATAATATTAAGCAAATATTAGCTTCTAAAAATTATAAGGAAGTAAAAGTTGAGGAGAGCTGGTATTTTTTTTACATATTTCGTTCCAGAATATGATAACATTTTATTTCTCGGGAACCAATATTATACACATTCAAACAGCAGTACCGTTAGGTAGCAAAAGGGACAAAAATAGTATGCTAGAAGTAATCCAGGTATTGCCTTATAAAAGATGAAGTTTACAACTGTTAAAAATTGAAAGTAATCATAGTCAGACAAGTACGAACTAAATTTTAGACGTGATAACAATGAAGGGATGAATCGCTGGCTCGCTGGAGAAGGCTTGATGACAGATACTGAAGCAGCACAACAGTTGATTAAGCGAGCTCGTAATCATATTTCATCCTCTATCAAGTATGACATTTTAAAATCTGATTCAACACTTTTGAAATCACGTACTTCACATCTAATAATATAACGATAAATTTATGTATTTTATGTCAATGCAAAATTTTGTTAAGTTCGTTTTGCAATCACTAACCATTTTTATGTATTAAGTTTTCAGGGCTATTGGCATATTTTCGGAAGACAAAATTGATTCGTTGTTTACCACAATAACATCAATTTACGAATCAAATCAATCAGCTATACAAAAAAGTGAATGCGTTAAGAGCAAACGTACATCAAACCTCTCAACTTTTGAAGTTGCATTCAATGATGTCTCTGAAGTCAGAAAATTTTTTTGGTTGCTCATTTTTTTCAAAATCTTAAATTGTATAAATGAGTAAAAAGGTGAAGAAGGAACTTTTGTCTTTACTAAGAATCTCTATCAAAGGTTACAAGGACATGTGTGCATATAATTTATTAAACTGAATCTGAATGATCACTTTGAAATTAAAG